GTAGTCAGGAGTGAGGGCACAGGCTCTGATGGCATAGGTCCCAACCCATCGTCTCAGCCTCTGCCTACTGTCCACATGGCCAAGAACGAGCCCTCTCTAGGCCGTAGCCCCACCCTGGGAGGTGGTTACATAAGGCCCCACATGTTAGAGCCCCGGGCAGGTCACAGAGCGCTCAGCATGTGAGGTAGCTGGGTCACTAGCCGGAGGCATCCCCTCAGGAGGTCCTCCTGGCCCAACCTGACCAAGGGAGCCTGGAGTGGGGGTGTCACTACCTGCAGGCCGAGCCGTATAGGTGTGGGACAACCTAAACCCCCGTGCTCAATGCTCATGTGCATCGTTTCTCTCTGACACCAACCCTATGGGTAGGTGCTGTCAGGGTCTCTGTTTACACATGGGGAAAGCGAGGTCAGGAGTGGGATGTGGATTCTTGGACCCCGAAGGCATTTAGAGACCTCTCTTCTGTCCAGTCCTACTTTCTGGCCTTCTCTTACGTTGTTTTGCTCAGTTTCTAAATAGAATTCCATTTTTAAAAAAAAATGAAGAATAACTACTTTTAACAACATTAACATGAGCTAATATTTATCAAGCACGAACCGTGTGCCCAGTGTTTGTTTGGCGCCTTATGCAGGCGGTACTTGTCACTGCCAGTCTACAGATTGGGACGAGGGCACAGAATGTTCTGTCTCCTGGGTCCCCTGGATATGTCCCTCCTCTCAGGAACTGGTATCTCTCCTGTAGGTTGTTGGGGAAGGAGAAGGAAGTACACCACAGGCCTTGCCTTCAGGGCCTCCCAGCTCCTCCTGACCTCTCAGCCTTCCCCCCCAGCCCAGCTGTTTCCCGAGGCGCCAGGGCCCCCTCAGTGCACAGACTCAGTGACATATCCTAGGGACAGCCGGGGCTTACATGCAGACCCCTGCTTCGTTACTGTTTACTGTGCCTGCTGGAAGTGACTGTCCCCACCTAGGGAAGAGGAGGTCCCTCTACTCCTGAGCTCCCATGCCTTCTGGTCCCCAGTGTACTGTTGCCCCCACAGCCCACTCCTTGGTCAGGGTGGTGGGGTCAGAAAAGCTCTTCAGCCGCAGACCCCCTCGGTGCCAGGACCAAATCTCCCAGGGACCCCAGTGGTTAGGGGCACCAATCCAGGCTTCTCCTCCCTCATGAGGAGTTGGGGGCTGGCAGCTTGGGATCCTTTCCCCTCAGGTGAGCTCGGTCAAGCCGTCAGAGGGAAAAAGACATGTTTCAAGGGCATTGTATCTACCTGGGCAGGATGGCAGATGAAGCAGCTGGTATCTTAAATGACAGCTCACTCACTAAAAATGTTAAAAATTGACTAGGCTCCCTCATCAGTGTAGGGAGGCTCTGGGACAGAGACATGTGAAAGGGACTCAAGGATATGTGGTCTGGCCTGGAGGGGAGCCCTGCAGCTCCCAACCCCTCTGCCATTTCCCAGGAGACGCTCGTAAACCTGGCAGGGCTCCTGATTAGCCTCTTGATGCTTCCCCTGGTGTCGGATTGCCCCAGGTAAGCTGAGAGCCAGCACGGGGTGGGGTGCCCAGGGGGCCCTCTGCCCCTGTTGACCACCTCACTCTCTCCCTCCAGCTTCAGCCTCAGCTGTTTCTTCCTGCTCACTGCCCTCCACATCTACGCCAACTACCGGGCAGTCCAAGCCCTTGTCATAGAAACCTTGAACGAAGGCCGGCTCTGGCTGGTTCTGAAGCACTTCCTTCAGAGTGGGGAGGTACTTGACCCCACTTCAGCCAATCAGATGGAGCCACTGTGGACAGGTGACCCAGCCTCTGGTTTCAAGTCCTGTGTCTCCCCACCTGTCCCCCTGCCTGGGATTCCTGACTCCAACTTCCCACAGGTTTCTGGCCGTCTCTGTCTCTCTCCCTGGGGGTCCCCCTACATCGCTTGATCTCTAGGTAAGTACCCCTTGTCTCCCACTCATCGCTACTAGTGCCCACTGCCCACACATGCACGTTATTCCCCTTACACACTGGCCTCCCTGCCAGGCCGCACCTCTGCTCTAGGTTCTCTATTTCCACTGACCTAGACGGGTCAGCAGGAGTGCTTGAGGGTAGCAGGGCGTGTAACATAAGAGGTGCGATCAAACAATACGGTGAATGTTTAAATTTTAAAAATTTATTACAGTAAAAGACATTGCCATTACTCCCGCTCGCTTCGAACACATCCCATAATTCTTGCCACTTTCTGAAGCAGTTCTGGAAGTCTTCTTTCATGAGTGTCTTTAGTTGCACTGTTGTGGCTTCCTTGATGTCCTGACTCAATTAAAAGTGTTTACCTTTCATTGTCATTTGGATTTTAGGGAAGAGCCTGAAGTAACACGGTGCCAGATCCAGGAAATAAGGTGGATGAGGACACACCATAATTTTTTTATTTGACAAAAATTGCCGGATACCAGAAGTAATGTGTGACACGGAGCATTGTCATAGTGGAGGATGATTTAGGGCACACTTTAAAATACACCTCTCAACCGTAGCTCACACCTGACTTACTGCACCAAACAAGTTAAAGTTGTCACACACTCTTGTCACAAACCTTACTAAGGTTTGACGCGCTGCTTCCCGTATTGGAGATCCCGGCCTTTCCTCAGCAGCAGCATTCACCGTAGGTTTTGATCACAGCGCTCCATGTCACACTGTGCTTCTGGTATGACAATTTTTGTCCAATAAAAACATTACAGTGTGTCCTCATCCATCTTATTCACTGGATCTGGCACCGTGTGACTTCTGGCTCTTCCCTAAAGTCCAAATGATGATGAAAGATAAACATTTTTAATCGATTCAGGACATCAAGGCAGCCACGACAGTGCAACTAAAGACTTCCAGATGAAAGAGGACTTCCAGAACTGCTTCAGAAAGTGGCAAGAATGATGGGATGGGTTCAAAGCAAGGGGGAGGGAGTATTTTGAGGGGGATTAATGACAATGTGTCTTTTACTATAATTTTTTTTTTTTTTCAGCTGAGCCATCCTGCCACCGGTTCGCAGCTCAGCGGCAGCTCAGCTCGGGCCGTGAATCAAACCGGGGACCCTGTTGCTCAGAGGTCAAACTCTTGAACGAGCTCTTAACCAACTGAGCCACTCGGCCGGCCCTACTGTAATAATTTTTTAAATTTTTAGACATTCACTGTATGTTTTGATCACACCTCGTAGACTAGATACAAAGGATATTTGTTGGATGAAGGAAGAATGGGTGGATGAGGCAAATGGATGACCAGAGGCGATAAAGGAAGGAATGCTGTGGGCTGCATGGGAACAGCTAAGAGATGGATGGAAAGTGGATGAAGGACAGGAAGTATGGACATTAGGGTTAGCAGGCTGCTGTTCAGCTGATGGGATGGTTGTTCCTGCCTTTGCCTCCCCCTCCCCCACTGCACTGTCCTTTCCTTCAGGGTCTCTGAGCTGCAGCAGCTGGTGGATGGGCACCAAGAACCCTACCTTCTCCACTGGGACCAGCCGCATAGTAAGTGCCATGCTCTCCCAGCCTTGGACTTGCCCTCCTTGGGTCAGCTCCATTCCTCTAGCTCCAGGGCCAAAAGCCCTGGACCGCCTTGAGTCTGTGTGCTATTCCAGAGAGAGCTTATGCTAAGACGTGACAGCTGCATGCCCCAGTGAAAGTCACTTCTCCCCACCCCTGCAACATGGAGCTAATAACACCTGCCTGTTACCTGCAGTGTTTTGTGAGGATCAAGTAAGGTGATTATGTAAAAGTACGTTGCAACACACTTAATCCAGTGGGATCATGACCTTTGATTATCTCAGGGGAACCACTTTTCACGCCTTTGGGCGTCATTTCTTCAGGAGAAAAGTACTCGAGATTCTTGGTCTGCTGGTTGTGTGTTAAAAGGTGCTTATTCTCACTGACCATTAAAGATATGCTAAGTAAACCACCTCAGTGAGCTGCTATGAAGCTGCATTTCTGTTTGGCTAGAGTGTTGGGGAGCAACAGAATCTGGTGGTGGAAAGGACCACGTGAGAGGTGGCCTTTCTGCCAGGCCAGACCTCTGAGGCAGATGGGGATGAAGCAGGGTGATAGGGTTAAGAATGTGTGTGGAGGTGGCTTTCCCTAGTACCAATCTGTCCCTGGGTCCCCAGACCAGGTACAGGTGGTTCTGAGCCACGTGGCTGGCCCTGAGACCGTCCTGAGGGCTGCCACACATGGGCTGATGCTTGGAGCCCTGCAGGAAGAAGGGCCACTGCCAGGAGAGCTGGAGGAACTGAGGCGCCGAGTACGGGCAGGTAAGAGCCTCGCAAACTGAACTGCTGAGGATTCGAAGTGGGATGGAGAGAGGATGGACCCTGCTCAGCTTGGGGACCCGAGCCGGTTCTGCACCCCTTCCAGGTCCTGAGGAGGAGAGCTGGGTCATCGTAAAGGAGACGCACCAAGTGTTGGACAAGCTATTCCCACAGTTCTTGAAAGGTAACATCCTTCAGGCTCCCTGGCCTATGATGCCTTCTTCCCAGAGGCCCTTCCACCTGGGAGGGGGTTCTCTCTGTGAGCTTAAGTCTGGGCCTCGGTTTCCCTGTCTGCAGGATAGTCCCTGAGGCTGTCAGTGTTGACAGTCTGTAATCTCAGGTGGCCTGAAGAACAGGGAGTGAGGAAACTTTCACAAATTATGGGCACTGATCTTTTCTTTAGCGCCTGCTCCGTTCCAGCCTTTTCCATGTGCTAGCGCTAAAGTCTTGCTGCAACCAGAGTAGGTTTTAGCCTCATTTTATGCCAGAGGTTACCCAGCAGAGGCAAGGCGCAGGGCACAGAGAGTGCGCCTAGGGTCAGCCCGGACTCCTCCCTAGCAGTCTCCCTGTGACCTCCCCAGGGCTGCAGGATGCGGGCTGGAAGACTGAGAAGCACCAGCTGGAGGTGGACGAGTGGAGGGCCACGTGGCTCCCATCTCCAGAAAAGAAGGTCTTGTGAGCAGCCCGACAGAGGCCCAGGGTACAGAACAGGAGCCTGATGCGAGGACATGGGGGCCACAGCAGGACGTGGAAAGGCAGCTTTATTTTTATTTAGGGGAGCTGCTGGGACAGGTTGACCAAGGACTCATGAAAAGTAACTGCCAGGGAGGTGGGCCAGGTCCTGAGCAGAAGCAAAGCAGGGAGGGGAGCAGGACCTCTGTCCTTCTGCCTCCATGCACTGTGAGGCTGAGCCTGCCTGGGGAGGCCGTGGCATCCCCCACAGTTGGCCTCAGGCATAAAAGCCCCAGAGGAATGTGGCCACAGCCATCATGAGCAGGGCGTTCATGTTGACCACACGGGCCCAGCTCGGGTGCTCACTGATGTCCTCTAGCCGCCCGGTTGTGGTAGCTGCCTCCTCCTGGAGGGGCGGGGGGGCCCCGCCCGCCCTGCTGCTGCTCATTCCGCAGAACCACAGCAGGCACTGGCACAGCAGGCCTGGTGCCCGGGACCCAGGCTCTGGGGAAGTCAAGGCTACAGTTAGTTAGAGGGATTTGGCCCCTTGCCCCCACCTCCGAGGCAGTGCCTTACCCTCCATGTCCACTGCCAGCTCAGGGAGCCGGTTGTGCACAAGTGTGGAGGTTGGGCCTTCCTGCTCATCAGCATCCAGGTCCTCCCGCTCCTCCTTGCTGTGCCGGAGACTGTAAACCAGGCGATGGAGCTGGGGAGGGTGGAAGTAGGGGCTTAGCAGGCAGTGTGCTCCTCGCCCAACCTGAGGTCTCGCCCACATGGCACTTCCCACACCTAGCCCAGGTTAGCACACGTAAGGGACCTTCATGGCTGCCCTTCACCCTCGGGCTAAACCCAAGCTCCTCCCTGGGTTTGGAAAACTCAGCCTACTTGCCCCATGTCAGCTGTCTGCACTCAGAATTATACTCTGGTCTCGTCTTGCGGTCTTGCTCACACACTGTCCTCCCCTGTTGCCTTTCCCCCCACTTCCCCACCTGTGGAATTCTGCCCCCAAAAGCTCCATGCCCTGGGGCACCTGCCCTGCAGCACAAGACTAAACCCTTTGGTGGGCTTTTAAGATAGTATCTGGTCCCACTCAGGCACCAATCAGATCTGTGTCTTCAGTCCCAGTGGCCCTGCCAAGGACTCTGGGGACTTTAATCACCTCCCCCATAATCATCAAGCTACCTCCCCCAAACCACCTCAGATAAATGTCACTAAGTAAGAACATTGTGTTTGCAAATGCATCTTCGAACTGGACCCCCAGGCTGCACTCACCAGCCCTCAGTATAGAGACTCAGGCCTCTCCACTAGACTGGCAAATGCAGTGTGCAGGGCTGCCCTGGCCACGTGGTACATGGCCGGTGCCCGGACAGAGACAGCACTTACATGCTTGAGCGGGATGGGTGCTGTGCACAGGGAAACCACCAGGGTGAGGAGGCCGGAGCAGGTGAAGAGCACGATGGCGAAGTAGAGGTAATGCACACGACAGAGGAGGGCGGGGCACGCAGACGGCCTGATGCAGCTGCCAGAGCCAAAGGAGAACTCGGGAATGAGGCGCGCCAGGCCCATCAGCAGGCCCCCGATCAGTCCCCAGAAGGCGCCCTGCAGGGAGAGGACGTCAGCCGGCTCCGATGACCAAGCTCTGCCCCAGGCTAGGCCTGTACTCATGCTCACCTGCTCATTGACGCGGGGCACGAAGAGCGCCAGCACAAAGACCGCGGACACAGGCGGCGCCAGGTAGCTGGAGACGGACTGGATGTAGTCAAAGAGCTGCCCGCCCTGCGCCGCCTGTACCACGGGCAGCCAGGCCACAGACACGGCCACGATGAATACCACCCAGAGCCTGCAGGGGGTGGCCATCAGGAGAGCACCCCGGTACTCGCCGCCCTCTAATCCTGAGTCCTCCCTGCCCCCACCCCGGGATGATGGGGTGGTCAGGAGATTGGGGGGGGACCCAGGCCACACCGTCCTACTAGGAGCAGCTCGCGGTCGCCTGCGCGGGGACGCAGGCGCGTGTAGATGTCCATGGTGAAAAGTGTGCTGCTACTGTTAAAGATGGAGGCCAGGGAGGACATGAGCGCGGCCAGCATGACCGCCAGCATGAGTCCACGCAGACCTGTAGGCCGATAGGAGCCGTGAGTCCCGGGCCACCAGGTCTCCTGGGAGGACGCCAGCTTGGCAATGGGTGACTCCTCCCAGCCGCCGCAGCCTCCACAATGTGCCCCTCGCCTGTGGGCAAGCGGCCACCTGGGTGCCCGCCCTCACCATTGGGCATGAGCTTCACGACAAGCCGTGGGTAGGCGATGTTGGAGCAGCCCACCTCGGTGCCGCACACGCGCTTACACACCTCCGGTACTACGCACGCCACCTCGTCTGCCGGAAAGATGGCAGAACGCTACTGGGGGGACTGGGAATTCGAACGAAAACGAGATGGGACCCCCTGGTGGGAGGTGGGGTTGGGTGGCCGGGTTCCCAAATCTTAGGACGGTCACGGAAACGGGAAGCAGGCACCTGGGTGGGGCACAGGGCTCAGTGGGGGCTGGGGTGCAGACGTTACCCGGGTACAAAATGCGGCTGATCATGCCCGGCATGACCATGAGGAACATGGGCAGCAGCTTCAAGTAGCCGCACAGGATGCAGCCCGCCTTGATGTGGGTCAGGTTCTTCCCCGCTAGGCAGCGCTGCACAATGACCTGCGACCAGGGGCGTTCAGCTGCCTGCATCCAGTCCCGAATACCTCCCCTTCAGGCCTTGCTTCACTCGCCGCTATAATTCAGGCCCTGCCTAGCTCTGCTGGCCCCAACCCGGCTCCACTCTAGCCCAGGTCCCGCCCACTTCAGACCATATCCACGCCCCAGGTGGTTTCAGGCTCCGCCCATTTCAGCTTCGCGCACAGCGGTTCTGGTTCTGACCCAGCCTCGCTCCACGCCCAAGCCCTGACCCCGCACCTGGTCGCTGCACCAGTACCAGCCTGAGACGATGGTAAGCCCCAGGAGCAGCGCGGGCCATGGCAGGTCCCCTGTCACAGGGTCCCGGAGCAGATGGTAGGAGTCAGGCCGTGGTCGATAGCAGATGCTGGAGATGTTGCCCACAGCCGGATCCTCAGACACTGTCAGCGACGTCATTGCCCCCAAGTATTTGTCGAAAAGCCCTGAATACCCGCCCACCTCGTGGAAAGCTGTGCGGGAAAGGCCGTCAGGGGACCCAGCGTCTGCACCAAGACCCTCCCTAGGACCCACATGCCCGAGACGCGCGATGTCCCAGCTCCCAGAATGAAAGCCCTGCGACCCTCGACATCCGCGCCCGCCCCCCTTGGGGCATACCGTAACCCATGAGGATGAAGGCACCCCCGAGAATGACGAAGGTCTGCACGGTATCAGTGTACATCAGCGCTGCCAGCCCTCCTGCAACGGGCCTGGGTCAGTGGGGACAGCCCAGACAGGCTGCTCCCAGGACAGATGGCGTCTGTGCGAATGTGAAAAAGGTGCCCCTTCCTGGAGAACAAATTTCAAAACGATGGCCCATTCTCCAGGTTGATGCACTCCGGCCATGGGGCAGGACTTGGTGAGCAGAGGATAGCTGAGGTATGCTCCTCGCACATCTCCCGAGCCCGCTCCCTTCCCTAAGCCTCTGCCACGGCCACCTGTCACCGTGTAGATCATGGTGATGCCCAGCAGCGCGATGACAGAGGCATAGATGTTCCAGCCCAGAGCCTGTTGAATGAAGACCGCCCCGGAGAACATGTCCACCTTGAAGGAAGGACCAAGCACGCAGGTCAGGACCCAAAGGCCAGGGACCCAGGTCCACTTCCTGCCCAGACCACGACACTATGTGGCCACACTTCAAAGGTCCCCTCGTTTTTCGATGGCCTGGCTTTCCCAGGTCTCACCCACTGTGGCCTGGGTCCCAGAAACCCGTGCCTTTCAGGCCCTGCCTCCGTTTTAACCTAAACTTACGCCTACTTCTCCTTGGCCCCGCCCCCTCCAAGGCTTTCTAGAGACTTCCACTCGGAGGTCCCACCCTTACAGGGCCCAGTCCAGCCTGCCGCGCGTGCGCACCGAAATCTTGGTGAAGATGTACAAAAAAAGCGAGAGCACAGACAGGTAGAGGCGGATACGATGGCCGCCGAAGCGCTTGCGCAGGTACTGTGGCATCGTAATGACTCCCGCTGTCAGGTACACCGGCGCGAAGAGCCAGCCGAGTAGCAGCACCACAAACAGCGCCTGCGGGCACAGTGCAACACCTGAGGGTGACTCCCTCCCTGTCTGAGATCCTGTCGTGGACGCTTCCTTCCTGCTGGAGGGTACGAGACCTCTTTGTGCACGTGCTACTACTATAAAGTCAGGGTCTCCTCTGGGGCCCAGAAGACAGAAGTGCAGACAATATCCCTGGGCATTAAGGGACAGGTTCTTGACACCTCCTTGGACCTTACGTAGAGCCACCCTTGCCCTCCCAGGCCATGACCCTTGGCCAGTCCCTTCCCAAATGATTTCAGCCCTCCACCCTCAGCACATGACAAAATACAGACCCCTCACACTGACCCCAGCCAATGCCAGGAAGGGCTGTTTCTGCTCCCCTCTCCACCCACCAAAACCATCCAGGCTCAGCTCAAAGGCCTCCTCCTCCAGGAAACCCTGGGCTCAAAGCCTGGTCTCCCAGCCCACCAAGGCAGCCCTCAGTCCCAAGCGTTGTTGACTTCCACTTCTGCAAAGGGCTTTAACTTGGCCCAGAGATCCTCACAGGCCACAGCTAGAGAGAGCATAGGAACAAGCATTTCACGATCTTTGAGGCTGGTAAGCCCACTTCAGAGAGGAGTAAATCAAGGCCACAGAGGGTAGAGGCGGGTCCAGATTTGCACAGCAAATCAGGAGCAGGGCCCATCCCCACTCTAAAAACAGTCACTTCCTACATCCCTCCTAGACGGTGGCCCTCACTTGAAGCCCAACCCCACCCCACTATTGGGAAGTCCTTCCTCCAGCCAGCCTCACATCTCGGCCTGGAGCCCCCGCCCCTCCCCTCCCCTGAGTGTGACCCTTGCAGGGGTTCCCACTGAGGTGGGTGTCATTAGCCAAAAGCAGGCCTCACGTTCCATTCAAATCCAGCCACAGCCAAGCCACTTGCAGCGCCAGTCCCTGCCAGGCCCACGAAGTGGCCACTGCCGATGTTGCTGGCAAAGAGAGAGGCCCCGACCTGGTGGCCAGAGGGATGGGTGAGCCAGGCTGCCTTGCTTAGCCCTTCCCATGCCATGGCCCAGCCTCTCTCACCGGCCACCACACCATGCTTCGTCCAGCCAGGAAGTAGCCACCTACAGTGCCTCTGTTGGTTCTGCGCATGGACTGAGGGACAGGGGTTGGGGGAGACCCAGGGTCAGGGCATGTCTTTGGACCGCATTAGCCTCCTGAACACATTCCTTAGCCTTGTTCTGGGCTGAAGATTAACCAGTGCTCAGCTCCCCTGGTGGCCACACCCCACCCCACAAACTTTCCAGCAACCCAGAGCCACCCAGGCCCCAACCTGGTGTCCAGCCACCCAAGCCTGAGCATGGCTGGATTCCCCCCTGACTTTCCTAGGGACCATGGATCAGGCCTGTAGGCTTCCATCAGCCATAATGTAGACAGGGGGACAGAAACCTCACTTAGAATGCCGACCCTGGTGAAAATACCAGCCCAATCCAAAGGTGGGATGACAGCAAGTGCTGGCAGGCACCCCCTGAGGCTGTCGAGACTTGATTGTCCCCCATCCCGGTTTCTCCCTCAGAGATCCAGGCATCCTGCGCCTACTGCTACCTGGGTTCTCCCTGAGAATTTCCCCCCAAACCCCAGAAACCTGGCCCCCAGCAGCACCCCCTCAACTTCTCACCCACAAACCGACACCAATGACCAGCAGGAAATAAGCAGCAATGACCAGGATGTCAGCAGGGTTGTCAATTAGGACGCTCTGACTCCCCAGCCCTGGTGCCAAGCCTGCCTCTGTGTGTTCCTCCATTCTGTACAGATCTGCCCCTCAAGGGACAAATCTCCAGATTCTCCCAGGCGAGGGATTAATGGTTACCTCAGAGGCAGTGAGCTGACAAATTCCCCAGGCCTTGGTCGTCCCCCCCCCCCTCCGCCCCTTCAGCTTTATTTAGCTGAATCAGGTCACGTCGAGGCTGAAGGCTGGTCCTGGGGAGGTGGGCACTTTCAAGTTCAGGAGCACTCCTCCCTGGACCCTAACCTCTACCCCTTCCCCAATGCCTCAGGCTCAAAATCACTTCTTTCACCCCCTAAAAATGCCTACCCTTCAGCCTTGACCTAGGGGCCTGACTGAGCCTGGTTCTGACCAATCCAGAGGGATCATTTTCAAACCCCAATCTGACATTGTCGCTCTGCTGCTCAGAAACCCTCCATAGCTCCTCATCACTCAGGAGGAAGTAGAAACTCCTTGACCTACTGGAGGTCAAGGCCTGCCATGCCCACCTCTTGCCACCCTTCCCGTTCTCCTCCATTCTGAACCTGGAGTTTCCTTCCATTTCCTTCCCGCACCTTTGCTCTTTTCAGCCTGTGTATTTTCATACCCCCAAATTGTCTCGTGAGTTGTGCCTTCTGTATAAGAGCCTCCCTGCCTCCCAAATGGTCAACTTCTGCTCACCCTTCAGTGCCCAGCCCATGTCACTCCTTCAGGAAAGACTTCTCTGACTTTTCTGATATAGTTCTGAGAACATTGTATGGTCCTTTACAGGGACCAGGCCTTCTCTCCAACAAGTTAGAAATTTCCCCAGAGCAGAAAATGGTCTGATTTATCCCTGAATTCAAGAAGGGAGAGGTTGATGCATAGCTATGCCTCTGTCTTTCTTGTAGAATTGACCAGAATTGGATGTCTGACTATGGCAGTTGGGTTCATGCCTAAGATGGGAAAGAGAGAACAATATTTTAGGGGAATATAATGAGTTATGTTGAAGGAGTGCCTTATTTTGGGTCCCTTCCAGAGTAGACCCTACAATGAGAATTGGAGTACAAGGACTTTAATGGGGAGGTGATCTCAGTAAAGACAGTGAAGGAGTGGGGAAGTGAGACAAAGAAAAGGGAAAAACCAATAAAGTGTGCACCAACTGACAAGTTACCACTGTGAATGGCTGGAACCCAATCCAAATGGGGACCCTCTGAGACTGTAGAGAGCACACCTCAGAACTGACCCCCATGGGGCCAGGAGCCTGCTGTGTTTATTCACCAGTTACTGTGTCTAACTGATTGGAGGTTACACCTCCCCACCCACTTCAGGCCTGCTGGGTACAGGGGCACACTCCTTTCCCCCAAGAGGAGCACCCTCAGACAGCTCAGGAAGCAGCTGGGGAGGCTGGGTGTCTGGGCACTGCCTACATAGGACTTCCCTGATGATGTATATGGTGGGCCAAGCAGATATGGGCAGGGCACCCACAGTGTCTGCTTCAGGGACTAAATGAGGTGCCTAAGAGGAATCCAGTATCAGAGGACATAGTGGGCTTATAGGCTCTTATAATATAATCTGTGTGCCCTCACAGTGGCCGGTAACATCCTCTTCCTCTCTGCCTTCATCTGCTGCCCCCCCTCTTGCTCACTCGAATGCAGCCATACAACCTTCTCTCCTTTCTTCCAACATGCCAGACTCTCCTTACCTCCTGGCCTCTGCACTTGCTGTTTCCTCTGTCTGGAATGTTCTCCTCCGGCTCTTTGCCTGGTTGGCTCTTTCTCTTAGACATTACATTTGCACAGTGCCCTTCTCCAACTATCTGGTAAGGTAACCCCTTCCCCAACTTCTCTTAGTTCTCTATTTTTTTCCTTCTCACCTTCGTGCCTTCTTTTCTTCCTCATTCCTTCCTTCATTAACAAATATTTATTGAGCCTTTACCACATGCTGGATGTCATTCTAGACCCTAGAGAGACAATGTTATCTGACAAACATGTCATCTGACAAATAAGCTGTCAGGAGCTTGCATTCCAGTCTCAGAAACAGACATTAACAAGCAACAGATAAACATGTATTATATTTACAACAGTTAAAAGTGCTGTGGAGTAAGGCGGGGCTGTGGGTGGAAAAGAGGAGGACCAGCCAACTCTACCTAGGTTGTCAGGGAAGTCCCATTACTTCATCACACTTGTCACCTGTATACTTGTCATCTGTCTCCCCTACTAGACTTCAGCTCCACAAGGGCAAGGAGCATATCTGCTTGGTCCCCTGTGGTCTGCCCAGCACCTGGCACACTGAGTGTTCAATAAACACCTGGGGAATGAATGAATTGGGACTGGAGATGGCCAGTCGGGGCATCAAGACAGGGAAGTGGTTACAAGCCAGGGCGTGGACTGCGTTGCCCAGGGAATGTCTGTGGGAGGGGACGAGCAGGGGGCCTGGGCAGACCCAGGGAAAGGAGCCTCAGACAGGGAAGGACCTATGACGACACCTCACCTGTTTCTTGCCCACACATGCTCTGCTTGGCTTCTTGTTCCTCCTCAAGATGAAAGGGGCTCTGAGGATCCATCGTTTCTATCCTCAAAGGCCCCTATAATTTGGACCCAGGAGTCCGTGCCCCCTCCCTAGGGAACTGCAGGGTCCAAGGTGAAGGTTGTGGGCCTCAGAATGGCCCGCAGGGCTTGGAGATTCAGATAGAGCCTGAGCTCCACACCTGAAACCCTCTGGCCCCAGCCTTTTCTTCTGGGTCTAGCTCAGGTGTCACCTGCTCCAGGAAGTGTTCCTTGACTCCCAGTTGGGCTCCTCCAGCCCCCAGTGCCTCCCTCAGTCACTGCTTTGACCACACCAAGTGTCACCCTCTGCCTAGAGATGTATGAGCCATTACTGGTAAAAGGGATCTCTGCCTTAGTGCCCAGATCCAAAGGGTGGGCATAGGTTGGCATTTCTAGATAATGTCCCATCTCTGAAGGTCTTACAGGGGGAGGAAAAAATCTGGAAACCAGACAAAATGGCAGGGGTGTGGGGAATTGGGAAGGGAACGGATTCAGTACTTATTTCAAGAATACAGAGCTAATAAAGGGGGATGGGGGCCTGAAGGTTCTATGGGGCCCAGCTTGAGCTCCTGTCCTGGCTCTGCCACTATCTGTACAATCCTGCTATGGTTGCCGCCCTTTCCAGCTGTCAGGGCTCATCTGATATGTGAAGGCTGCAAGGCTGAGGCTAGAGGCCCCCCTCCAGCCACAGGGCTGTGGCTTAGAACTGGCTGCGGAAAGCAACAGTACAAAGGACGGGGTGTCGCCGCAAAGCTCTCCAGTGCAGACTCAGCACCAATGTGATGTGGACTGTGTATTTATGTAGGTAGAAAAAAGTGCACAGAGCATTGAGGGACCGGGGAGAGGAACGTCTTGGCCTGGCCTCTAAGTCAGTTGAAACTGCAAGGGCCCTCCTGCAAAGTGAAGGACTCCCGCACGTCAGAGTACGGCCCACTCTGGGGGCATGTGGCTTTGGGATTGGCTGGACCTTTTCTGAACTTGCCCTCGGAGAACAGAGACTAGGGTACCTTAGGCGAGTCTCCCCAGCGGGCCTCACAGGGCGGGGCTGAGGGGAGCCCCACGCTCAAAGAGCAAGGCCTCGAGGTGTGGAGAGCTCAGCGTTTGGGGTAAGGGCGGGGTCTTTGGGGCCGCGGTCTCCCGGCGGGGCGAACCCAGAGGCAGTCAGCCGAAGAGCTTGAGGAAGCAGGGCTGGCAGTAGGGCTTCCCAGCGCGCTCCTGGAAGGAGCCCTTGGTGAGCGGGCGTAGGCAGAAGGTGCAGGTGAAGTGGTTCGGGTGGAAGCAGCGGCCCAGCGCCGACACGCAACGGCCGGTCACCGGGAGACCACAAGTGGCGCACAGGGAACCGCGTCGCGCGTGGAAATGGTTCTCGCACAGCGGGCGGCCCTCGTGCTCGAAAAAGCTGCCTGCCGAGAAGGGCGCGAAGCATTCC